TTAATTAAAAATAATTATAAAAAAATTGATACATGTTTAGTAATCTTGAAAACCTTTATTTTTCTTTGTTCTTTCATTTTGTATTTCCGTAGCAGCCACAAACTTTAAATTGTTTATTTTAGCTTTATTGTAAAAAATTTGTGGTCTTTAGTTAGTATTTAAATTGAAAGCTGGGCATGGTGGTACACACCTGTAATCCTGGTAGTTGGGAAGCTGAGGTAGGAGGACTGCTGCGAGTTTGAGGTCAGCCTGGGCTACATAAATGAGTTCAAAGCCAGCTTACACTATATAGTGAAACCTTATCTCAAAAAAGAAAAAAAATTGAGGCCAGGGAGATGGCTCAGTAGAATAAGCGCTTCCTTGGCAAGCACAAGGGCCTGAGTTCAATCCCCTGTTCCGGAAAAAAAAAGAAAAAGAAAAAATTCAAACAAAGTGGGGAAGCAGAATGGCTACTAGCTAAATAGTTAAAATGGCATATAGTAAAGTTTGTTTGGCTATAAGATGTAGTTAATAGTTTTTATATGCAAATTACTTATAGTGCTTTTGAATGAGTGTTTAAATACTGAAGTCATACATTTCCTCTCTGTAAAAAAGTCCTTTTGCAAAAGCAGTGATTATATAATTTTCAGCCTTTTTTTTTTTTTTTTGGCTGAACTGGGGATTGAACTCAGGCCCTTGCGCTTGCCAAGCAAGCGCTTAATTTTCAGAAAATTCAGGATATTTCTAGGAATAGTTTTCCAATTACTTTGAGTACTCATCTTGAAATAATATACTTAAGTATCCCACCCTTTCTCAACTTCTCATCTGATCAGAGGACTCAATCAGGCAATAAATAATTAAAACATGAAAACAGAGATTGGCACATTTCTCTGAAAATAGCCAGCTTAATTTTTGTGGACAGTGGCCATAAATAATACATAAATAAATGAGTATGGCTGTAAGTAAAATTTTACCTACTTTAACAGATGATAGCCTAGGTTTGGCCTCCAGGCTACAGTTTATCAGCTCCTGGTTTGAAACAGCCTAAAGAATAGTAATTATTACCAATTAGTAACCTATGCTGGAGGTAAAAAGTAAAGCTGTTATATCTCGAAAGAGTGTGTGTTTTTTTACTTTATTGTGACAAGAGTGTATACAAATGAGGCATTTACTCTTGAACCAAAACTAGATGTAATCAGGTGCTAGATCCATTTAACAATGAATACATACATTTATAAATTTTAAGGGAAGACACAGAGACTGGGGTTTGATTCCTGGCTGGCCCTGTCCCCTTGCACGCTGAGATGGTTGACTGAGACTGGGCATGGTGACTCATGCCTATAATCCCTGTAGACCCAGTACTAAATATATTTTAAGAAAAAAAAATTTAAGGGAAAAAATAACTTGGCTGGGATTACAGGCATGTGCCACCACACCCAGTCTCAATCCGTCTCAGCACCCCCGGGGGTAGAGCTGGCATGGTACAACAGGGAATAGAACCCAGCCACTGCGCTCTGCCCAAGCAGGCACTTTAATCCACAAGCTATCTGGCGAGCCCCTTTCTTGCATTTTTGTGAGACCCTCAACATCTTGTAGACCCTTCCCTAAAATACAAAATTTTTTTTTGTTGTTGTTGTTGCTGTGAGACAGAGTCTTACTATGCAATTCAGGCTGACCTTGAAATCACTATGTAGCCCAGACTGGCCTCAAACTTGGAACAGTCCTCCTGCTTCAGGTTTCCTGGGTGCTGGGGTTAGAGGTATGTCCTACCATGCCTGGCAGTCTTTATAATCGATGATATAATAATGAAAGACTGTTATATAGTGCTTTAAGCTTTAAGCAATAAGAATTTTCCCTTTGGAAGTGGTGATTGACCTGATCCCTAAAGATTCAGATAAACTTAAAGTAGAAGGAGAAAGTAGAAGTTGGCCATTTCGGGTAGAGAGAACAGCATGTGCCAAGGCTCTGTGTGGAGGAGAACAAAGTGTGCATGAGGACCTGGAACAGGCTAGCTGCAGAAAAGAGGGAGAGTTGTTCCATAGGTTCAGAAAGAGGGGTAGGAGCCAGATTCTTCTTCAGGAAGGCCTTATTAAATGTTTTAGACTTCATTAAGAGTGTAGAGAAAATATGAATGAAAGTATTGTGCTGGAATGCCAGGTGTGGTGCTCTGTGCCTTTAATCCTAGCACTCAGGAGGCTGAGGCAGGAGGATCACCTAAGTTCAAGGCCAGCCTAGGCTTTATAGTGACAGCCTATCTTAAAAAAAAAAAAAAAAAAAGGTATTGTGCCAGGACTATGGTAGGGTGGGAAGGCATGATTGAATTTGTATTTTAGAAAGGTCATAGTAACATGGTAGTTGTATGGAATGCAGTTGGAGAGGATGATTTGCTTGAAAGTTGATGGTAGCCTGGCTGTGTGTTAGGAAGTATAAGAAAAAACACGTCAGTTTTCTTTGGGGTCACCCCAGCACAGTCTCCATGTATGGGACTATCTCGCCACCACCTAGGAACAGTCAGTTCTACAGCAGACCTCAGTTGGGCTCCCTCTGATTCAGTTCAGTTCAGTTTAATTCTGACATTGTCTACCAGAGGCAGTATCAGATCTCATGGATTTAGTTTGCCCTAGTCCCCAATCCCTAGGTGCCAGTCTCAAGCCCCAGGTCATTCTCTGTGCTTCCGGCTGACCAGCTGTAATCCATTTCCTATGACTCCTCCTTGGTTTCAGTTAATTTACTTGAGTAGGTCATGGAACTCAGGGAAATACTTAGGCTTACTCGTTTATGATAAAAATAAACATATGCTGAGAAGATATAGATGAAGAGATGCATAGAGGGAGCTTATAACCCCTTCCCATGCCCTCCAGGCCTACTGTGCTCTAGGAGCCTCTACATGGTCAAGTCTTTGGGAACTCTCTGAACATCTTTGGGTGTTTTTGGTTGATTTTTTTTTCTTTTTTTTTTGGTAGTGCAAATTGAACTCAGGCCTTTGTGCTTGCCAGACAGGTGCTGTGCCACTGAGCTATCTCTCTGGCCCCTCTGTGGTGTTTTTATGGACACTTCATTGCATAGGCATGATTGAAGCATAGACAACTATGTTTAAGTGTGATTGGAGAAAAAATATGATGTAATACTTACGGATATAGGATAGGGAAACCCAGCAAGGCCTGCTTCTAAAGTAAAAGTTTAATAACCTGTCATAAGTCAAAGAATTTATGACTTGCTTCTATAGAGAAATGCAGGGGAAGATGAGAGTTTCTGTAACCTGCCTTGAGGAAGAGAAATTGTGGTTTCTATGGCCTACATTGGAGAGGGAGGTATAAACCAGGAATAATGCATGAAGACCAAAAACTATGTAGTATCACAGAGGGAATGGTATGTGATAAGATGAAAAGATACAGTAACAGAAGGAATCCAGTACAGAGAAATGAAGTATTGATGGTGGTTTCTGAGTTTCCAGTTTCTAAGACAGGGATGAATGTTATTATTCTAAAAGGAAGCTCCCAGAAGAGAATTGGACTGTAGCAGAAAGCGCAAAAGTTGAATTTGGTATGTAAATTCTGGGATACATTTTCCATACTCACAGGGAGGTAATATATATAGGATTAAAGTTCAGAGGAAAACTTAGGACTGGAAATAGAAATAATGGGGAGTCTTTGACATTAATAAATGATATCCTGTATATGTTTGAGAATTATAAAAAGAATATTAGGGATTGATAACCAATTATAAAATAATAAGCTTATGGGAATCAAGAATAAAGTGATATGTGTACATGCTTGGCTTATATCTGTAATCATGCTCCATGCTGTATTCTATGTATATAACGTGAGGTCATCTCATGAAGAATATGTATACAACCATGTGGTTCACTAAATAGAAAGCATGTGTTCCTCCTCCCTAGACCACTACTTTGCTAGTAGGCAGACCAAAAACTTGTCATCTGATTTTCTTTCTTTACTAACTTTTCCAGTTTTTAGCATTGGCTCTTTTTTCTTTTCTGATTTTCTAGTAACTGTATAATGCATAGTTTAGTATATTTACATTTTTTTCCCCCTAAACTGATCTCATCACATTACTCTTGTTCAAAAGTTACTGCTTATTTTTGCAATAAAATAAATACTGGACCCCTAAGCATAGTGTTTTAGGCCTGTAGTAACCTTGTCTGGACTGATTTTTCCTGTGTTGTTCCTTCTGTTTTACCATACTGGATCACACACTCTTACTCCTAAGTGGGCTCTACAGTTTTTCACGACACTGCTTTTATCTTATAACACAGATGAGAGCAGTATGTATTTTTCTTAGTTTTAGGGGCCCTATCAAATTACTGTTCATACTCTCAAGTCTGTGCCATTTCTGTCCCTCCTAGTATTCTTACCTGGTTTGTCAATTGTCATGAATTCTTTGTATAACCCTTTGCACCTTTATGATACTATTTGGCTGCAGTCCTCTTAAGAGAAAGCACCATATCATGTTTGTCTATATGTATATTTTATACAGTGATTTTTGGCACATACCTGTAATTCTAGCACTCAGGAGGTTGAGGCAGGAGGATTGCTGTGAATATGAGGTAGCCTTGACTACAAAGTGAGTTCAAGGCCAGCCTCAACTGCAGAACAAATCCTATATAAAAAGAGAAATATTTAAAAATTTCTTTGCAGTGCTTTTGCAAATGCTTGTAAATATTCATTAAACTGTAGATATTAGAGTAGGTTGGGCAGACTATCAAAATGTATCAGTATATAATTTTATGTGTTACCTTAACTCTAAGGTAACAAAGGTTTTATTACCTAAATTTTTGTGTAATTTCATGTTTAGCACTTTTTAAATGGAAGTTTAGAAGTGCTTTTTATTTATTTTTTATTTTTTATTTTTTTAGAAGTGCTTTTTAAACAGGTAATTCTCCCATGTTTTCATTTTATACTGGCTTTAACAGTTACCGTTGCTTTAGTTTTTCAAAGATCCAAATTTTGTAATTGCTTTTATTTATTTATT